GTGGACTTTTTGACATTCATTATGAGTTTAAGATATTTCAACTGAAACTGATTTACAATATCAATGTTACCTACACCCCACACTTCTACACCATATAACAAAATAGAAGTGACCATAGAGTCAAAAAGTTGTAATTGTAAATCTATATCAAATATGATAAACAAGATCAACAAGGAAAGATGGCGTTCAATGAACACAAGACAAAGAGTTCTGGATTTTTTAAGTACAGCAAACATAGCTTTTTTCTAGCTTTTTCACAAAGGTATTTAGTTTAAGTTTTATTGAACTTATTATTAAAATTAAACTTTACACCTACGTAGCTAAAATCCTCAACAAAATCAAGTGTGGCATTGTTAAAGTAAAAAGAAGGTGTATTTCTACATTTCACTTTTAAAAAAATTACTACTTTAGTTTTGGCTGTATTTACTTGAAGTTTCCATAGCTCGCAATTAGTAGACATAGCATCTAGTGCTAATTGAAAATCATTTGCAGATTCTGCAAAAATTACAGTATCATCAGCACAAAGCAGTAAAAACAATTTAAAGTAAACCTCTACTATATCATCACTTAGTTCATTTTTAATAGACTGTGAAAGTAAATCTAAACCATTATATGTATTTGAGATATGTTCTACAAGATCATTCAGGAAGTCAGAAAAATAATAGGTGATAGGTTTTCATCTCGACGGACACCTGTTGCATTTGTAAAGTATGTTGATAAACCCTGAGTGCTTTTTACACATGATTTAGCTTTGTCGTAAATACAATAAATTACTCGTAGCATTTTACTATCTACATTGTGCTTTAAAAGTTTCATCCATAAAAAAAGTTATTTTAACAGAATCGAAGGCTTTTTTTATTATCCACAAATGCACAATATAATTTCGTATGCTTACTTAGATAAAAGTCAACTGACAGTTTCAAAGTAAATATATGATCTACATTTCCATAATCTTTACGAAAATCAGCCATCTCACATAATAATCCCGAATTTTTTAGAAAAGTATTAAGTCTGTTATTTAGAATACTTGTGAATAATTTTCCTAAACAACTTAAAAAAGTGATTCCTCTGTAGTTGTCTGGGTTATTTACATCACCCTTTTTTATAAATAGGAAAAATAACTCCTTTGCACCAGACTTCTGGGACACATGCTGATTCAATAATGATACTTAACAATTTATTTAAAACAGGCAGCATTATATCTTTAGAGTACTTGATATACTCATTCAATATATTGTCATGTAAAGAACAAGCTTTATTATAACTTAAGCCATTAATAGCATTCAATATTTCACTGTTAGTTATAGGGAAGTTCAATTCAAAATTATAATCTGAAATATTGATTATGTCAAAATCAACATTCTCTCCCTCATTATTTTCAATCAATTTACTGAAATAATCATAAAACGCCTCTGCACTAATATTCGACATAATTTTATTTCTTTTTCCCCAGTTTGGTTTCATATATTGTAAAAATGAATTAATATATTGATAATTCGGTTTCATATCAGGACATCTGGTTCCATATATGGCTATTCTGGTACCATATATTGAAAAATTGGTATAATATAATGTAATATAATGTAATAACCAACACATATATTGCTACTTTGGTTCCATACATTGATAAATAGGTTTCATATATTGTAAAAATGAATTAATATATTGATAATTCGGTTTCATGTAAGGACATCTGGTTCCATACATGGCTACTTTGTTACCATCTATTGAAGAATTGGAATCATATATTGAGAAAATCAACGTATATATTGCTAACTCGGTTTCATACACTGACGGCATGGTTTCATATATTGTAACTGTGGATTAATATAATGGATTCCGGTTAAATAAGAAAGTGTTTTCAATTCATATATAGTCGAAGTGAACTTATATATTATCCAAATAGTTACATAAATTGAAAAAGAACAATATCAGACAGCATTGGCTTTCCATACCCGCGCCGCATTTTATGTGATAAACTTAAATGTAACTCAACCAGATACAGTTGTCAATAATTATTTACATACTGCGAATGCACATACGGTTACGGAATACCGATCTGGGATAATGCATAATAAAACCTTATTGGAGTCTTCTTAATAAATATTCCGGCGATAAGAAAGACATAGCTTAAAACATATCTAACCAAGTATATTATGCGCAATTTGAAAAAAAATACAGTAGCTAATGAGATGATATTGAACTGGCTCTATTTCCTTTTACAACCAGTTATTGAACTAAGATATTAATATCGCAGAAACTAAGTAAACAATTAAAAACAAAATGAATAATTTAAATATGTTGACAACAATGTATTTTTGTCTTTCATTTGTCAATTTAGTTAACATTGTGTTAGATTCTGGCACCCCCTCGAAATATGGAGTCGGTATATAATATAACCATCGAAATATAACCATCGAAAACTAAAAGTGATAACGATGGCCGTATTTATTATAGGGGAATTACTATTTTAAGTTGTTTGGAAAACTCTTCACAAGCTTATTGAGCACTAGATACTATTTTGTCGGAGGTCATATGTTAAATGAGGAGCAAGCTTATTTTCGTAAAATTTGGCGATATCTTCACATTGCAATTATTATTGACTGCTAGATCAAACATGTATTTCTTAATAAGAAAAATGAATAAATAAAATAAACACACGCACACGAGAAAAAAAAACACATCAACAACAACTAACAACTATATTTTGCGTTTGTTGATTAAGGGAAAGCGTTTGACTGTGGCAAAAACACAAAAGTTGGTCGCTCATAATTTTTTAAGATTGTATACGATATGTATCAAAAGGCTAAATCCTTTGTAAAATTATCTGTATAAAAGTGATTAAAGACAGCAAACTTACATGAAAATTGCAGATTGATATCGGTTTGATTGTCTGATAACATAATATCAAACTTTTTAACTACTGATGCTGAAGTCCGTCAAGGTGAAAATCTTTCACTTATATTGTTCTCAGTTTCTTAAATGATTTGTCCTAATTAATATAAACAATATTTGAAGTGATTGCCTCGTTTTCTAAATCTGCAAACTACCATGTTGAAATGATTTTAACCTAATGCTGTATCTACTGCTTTATGCAGATGATACAATTTTATTGAAAGAGAGTCTGTCTGGCTGCATCAAAGTGCAATGTCAAAGTTTTACAATTGTTGGATTCAATGATTGCTCTATCTTAAAGAGATGTGAAGTGCTATATTGACATGATGATTAAATTCCATTAAAGAACTATACATTCATTTTCGTTCTTAAACAAACTACACCCCCTTAAAGTATGATTTATGGTGCATTAGGTCTTAACCTTTTTGTTTACATATTTTATCTCATCTGTTTTACAACCAAACTTCGGCCCTGTGTACTATGTATGGGAAAATAGAAAAGTAACAAGGTTGTAGATTGAAAAAGGGCAAATTTATTTATTTGCCTAGAAAGTTTAAACTAGTAAATATAAATTTGCCATGAAAGTTTAAACAAGTAAATATAACTACAAACAAGTAAATATAACTACATATAACATATTTTTCCATATCTGGGCGACGAAAACCGCCCTTTAAACAAGTAAATATAAGTACTTATAACATAATTGTCTGTATCTCAAGATTTTGTAGAAGGTTGTAGATTGAAAAAGGGCAAATTTATTTATTTGCCTAGAAAGTTTAAACTAGTAAATATAAATTTGCCATGAAAGTTTAAACAAGTAAATATAACTACAAACAAGTAAATATAACTACATATAACATATTTTTCCATATCTGGGCGACGAAAACCGCCACAAAAGACCAGGAAACCTGGTCTGCCGCCCACAGTGGTTGAAACGTTTGTCATTTAAAAACGATAAAACTTGTGAAATAGTATACAATACTGCTGTTACACTAATTCAACTGCCCATGGATGGACTCTGTCAGGAACACTCTGGACAAAATGGGTCTTTCTGTGTATTAGATAAAACTCTCTTCTAATTGTTTAGTTTTTAGAACTAAAATGATAAAGAAAAACCTATTATGGTAACCTAACTGTGTTCAAATTGGAAAAAAATATGAACTGTAAAAGTCCAGGCTTTCAGCAATAGCAAAGACAATATATGTATCCATTAATCAGAAACACAATACACACTTATCTTTTCAGAATATACCAAAATTTAAACAAAAATTCTCATTCTAGTGCAATATGAAACAGCAAAAGAAAAATTAGAAATGTGTCCATAGGACACGGGGGCCCCCACACTCCACCGATTTGTCAATCTTATGTCTCTAGGTCAATTTTTTTTGGCTACATTTGCTCAAGTTGAAAACTAAATATCTTTTATTAAGTAAAGGGCAAATACTACAAATACTCAATAAATCCACAAGAAAATCCCAAGGTGCATAAGTACACATGCTGACCAACATTCTTGTAAACTTTCAGGCCTACAGGTCAAATACTTTTTGACTTACGTGCAACATAAGTTAAAAATTGGATTTTTTTACTAAGTCAAGGGCAACAACTCTTAAAATACTAAAAATATCCACTTAAAAATACCCAGGTGCACAACTGCACATGCTGAGCAACATTCCTGTAAGGTTTCATGACTGTAGGTCAAATAGTTTTTGAGTTACCTGCGACACAAGTTGAAAATTGCAAATGTTTACTAAGTCAAGGGCAATACTTCTTAAAATACTTAATATAATATATCCACATGAAAATACCCAGGTGCACAACTAACTGCATAAAATTGATAAAAGTGACCTTTACCGAAGGGGCCAGAAATAACCCACGCGAGGTCTCATTATGAGCTTGCTATATACCAAATTGATAACAAAATCTCGTTTTCAACTGTAGTTATTAACCGAACACCATTCTCTTCAGTAACCTTGACCGTAGCCTCAGGGGGCAAAAAGCATTCCCAAGCGAAGACTCAACATGAGCTTGCCTTATACTAAGTTTGGTTACATTTGTTAATTCCTATTTGAAATTCAAATTTGTCTGAAACATTGCTAAAATCTCACCAAATCCCAGTCGGTCTTTTTTCCAAGAATATATCCTTCTCTCTTCTCTATTTTGTTATCAGGATCGAAACTTGCATCTGAAATATTTTCCTCGACACCAATCAGAGAGCACACCTTTCCATTAACTTTGAAAATGACGTATTCACACATTGACTTAGCCTTACATATGTCTATACAATCGTCAATTCCCATCATTAAAATTGTTTCAAAAATGTAAATATTCTTTGGATACTCGGTGTCTATCTTTATCCATCTTGAGAAATGTGTCTTGTTCGCATGACACATGTTCGTAACTAAGAAACAAATAAGAAAAATACATCTGGAAAAAATCATTCCCCCTTTGAATCCCATTCCTACAGATATGCAGGGTTCTACTCATACATATAATCAACAATAAATTCTCGTAAATGATAAAATTGCATTTCTTCCATGACATGAATCCGGTAAAGTGTTAGAAAACATTGAACTTGTCGATTAAACAGCAATTATTATGCTTGAATTCCCGTCCTTGCTTGAATAACAAATTCTTTCATTAACAGACTTGTTTCCTTTTATTTCATTAATATTGCGTGTGTGTTAAGATAAGCAGATAGGCTGTTCTGATTAGCCAGAATGTGGTTCCGGGTGAACAGGCTAGCTAGAGATAATATACTCAAATGTTTGCAAAAAGATCACCGGTCCATTTAATTTCAAAAGTTTATGTTGTTTATAAGCTAGATCTCCGCGACTGCTTCGGCTATCAAGAATACTACTAAACAACGAAATTTTGAAGACAAGGCTCGTCTTTTCATGCTGGTTCTTATGTGCACTCAACAGAACCCGCTACGATGGCATATTCTCAGGAGGTCTCACCATATGTCCGCCGGGAATGCTGCAGGGAATACTGCAGGGAATACTCTGGTATATTACCGACGGTTGGCCGAAAATGAAATACAAATTTTCATTTTTTATCTCAAATTTTGTAATTTGCAGTGACTCCTGCATGTGACCCCCACAGGCTTAATTCTTCAGAACCTGATATGGTATCATGCTATAGGATCTAAGACACTGCACTGTATTTTTAACAAATCACAATCATGTAAATCAATTTGCATTACTTCATGTTTGAAGAATCGGACGAAATAAATAGCTATTTTAATAATCTAATTTATGATAGGAAAGAGGGTAACAGCGGGAGGAGGGAAGCGTGCAATAATGACAATTTGTTGTCTGCGAATAACATTATCTTATTATCTTTCATATTTTGGTACTGCGTGCCTAATTTGATTATGCTGATGGTCAACCAGCTGGTAGAAGCTAAAGGCAGGGAAATAGTTGTTTTTACATTTTAATAATATCAAACATTTCGGTACCATGACATAAATAAGTGTTGCAAAACTCGAAAAAATATAATTTAAAGTACATGTACATTATTTCTCTTTGAAATTAACACGTGCACTATGACCGTTGTATGTATATATATATAGAATGTATAATTTATCTAGATTTTTAAAATTCCTTATTAGATATTCTAAAAATTTAATACAATTTGTAAAGTACTGAAATTTATGCATGTGAAAAAATCCAATCACACTAGACAGCAATCTCCTCGCAGTATTCTCCCCTTCATTCTTGGGCTGATTTAAGGGGACAGGGGGCATATTTGAATGGTGGCCTCGGTCAAATTTTTAATAACTCAGACATGGTGTTTTGAATTTCCTGGAAACTTCTGATATTTCTCTATCATTGTAATTCTTTCTTGTTTGTGTGTAGGTAATGAGAAGTATTTTGGGTTTTTACCCGAAACTAAGCATTTTGGTAGCTTTGTATGAATTTCTGACTCTCCGAATGGAGGTGAAAAAGTTAAAAATATATTTCCCTTTTCTTACTATCAGTAGAACAACAAGACGCATTATATTTTCTACAAAACTTATATTTCTGACATTTGTCACTTTTTCTTTTTATCTTTTTTTCTATCCTATAGAGTTCAGTTTGTTAGGGTTATTTAGACTGTATATACTCAGTTAATGTCTGTATTGCTGTCGTTTTCACAATATTGTTAATTGTTACCTACTTAAATATCCAAATGGGTAATTGCCTAAATACGTATCGGGTGGCAATCGGATTATTTAATTGTGTGGCAATAAGTCCAGAACGTAACTCTGATTTTTATCGTGAGAAATTCGTAATGTTTTTTTTTTTTTGCGCAAGATTATTTAGGTTGATATTTCGCTCGTTACAACTTGTGCTAAATCGGGTCTGCTTACTCTTTTATACGAGAATGTATCATTTAAATAACAGTAAAAGAGCCTACTTAAAGACCATCCGCGACACAAATAGTTCGTTATGCGAAACCAAATTCAGTTCAAATTTTATGTTTTTAAAGATAATGTTCCTTGGAGATGTAGAAATGAATCCTGGCCCTGAAAGTGTGATACAAATACAAACCTGTATTTCCATATTTCACCAAAATATACGAAACATTCGCAACAAAAATGAATTTCATTTCTGATAATTGGCTAGACTACGATATTTAATGCTTCACAGAAACTCACTGAAGTAATAATGTCACTGACTCTTCAATTTCTCTACAGGGATATAGTAATTTGTATAGAAAAGACGGTAATTCATATTCTGCCGGAATGCTTACATATGTATGTGATAAATCTATCTCAAAAAGACTAAACGATCTCGAAACGTTTTTTTGAAGAGTCTGAAATAAGAGTGCAGTTATTCCGCTCAACTCACAGTTTCCATCCTTTGAGTGTAAAGACCCTTTTGTTAAGAAAATAATCTCTTTCTGATGAGAATAACTCATCTATTTTTTATAAGGTACAAATATTTATTAACTTATCGTGTAGATTTGAAACTATACTACTTGTCACGTTCAATTGATATCCCTACATACTGAACTCTATCCCCCCTTTTTTTCTTTTCTTTTTATTCAATGTTTTCTTCTTCTTTCTCCTTGTGCATTTTTCCCTAATTGCTCTACTACCATACCATTTGAAACTGTCTTATTCCATATATCAGGGAAGAACCGTTTGCTGATGTTGTAAAAACTCGTGGTTCAACCCTTTTGCTACTTTTGTATTTATATTATGATAATATTATGTTATAAATGTGTAAAAAAGAGCAATAAAATGTGTTTAAATCAAAAAGTTAAAAATCAAGCTTTGACAGTTGGCGCCAAACAAGTAAGAGATTTCGGATAAATTTTGTAAAAAATCTAAACGTACGTATGACAGACACTTTATTGGTCACTTTTGAAAATGCCATAGCTTGCACTGCGTGTTAGTGATATTCTTTAAAAGAATTGGGCGGATTCTGAAGTATGCTGCACCTTCATGAACTTTGCCCATATATTGGTATATTTTTAGGTGTCATTTTGGCTGGGTGGGGGGGGGGGGGGAATATAAATTTGCTGTCAGTCATTTATTAAGGAGCAATGCATGCACACTATAATAATTATTTTCTTCAATGTATGCATATATCAACGAATAATGCTATGCAACTGGTTATCTGCCTGTGAAACAGACTTTGACATATTTGGAATTGTGTTTCTGGTCACACTGAAATACAAAATTGTTCATTTTTAGGTCCCCTGCCCAAAAGCGATAAAGAGTTAAATTGGCTGTGTAAATAAATTGAATAGCCGAAATGTGAAATTCTTAGTTGTTCTGATTACAAAATTTGAAATCAGTTAAACAGATAAATGATCATAAGGTTATTAAAAGTACTCAGTGTTTTAAAGGAAGACATAGCAGCAAGAAAATCACCTATAATGTCTCAACAAAGTAATACAGAAGACGAAAAATAAGACGGTTTAGTCCAATGGTGATTCAGGACTGCCTATCATAGAGTTTCCCACTTGGTCCGTCGACAAATTAGATCAAAAGTTGGAACCGTAGTGTTCAATTGTAAATAGGTTGAATTCTAACCTTGAGATTTTTAGAAAACAGAACAGAAATGAGCTGCGTCATGACAATCATCATGGCACACAAAAAGACTTAATTTGAAAACATGCTTCCTTTGTGGAAGTCTCGATGGGTATGTCGGACTCCAACCCATCTATTGGAAATCATTGACTTTTGTAAAACAGTTCCCTCTCCAACAAACAAATTATCTTGCCTTTCTCGCCGAAGTAGCTCGCATGGGCCCAGGCTTGGCCAAGTTCTGCTTGTGAAATCACTTTTATGACCCATGTTCTTCTAACCGGCTATCGCCTCGGTCAGTATGTCATCTGCCGATGAATATCACATGATATTCAATGGCTCACTAGTCAATAATTGTATAGTGTGTTTCTTTTCTATCCAGTAGATCTATAATAAGCATTCAACGTCTTGGTTTTATTTGGACATATTTTCTATTTAAATCAGCTAGTTTTATGTAAAATATCTCTTTAAATGGTGAAATGCAAACGTTTCCGGTTTTGAAGTACGTTCTTGCAATGATTTGTTTTAATTGTTGCTTTCATCATGCCATTGATAATTTCACAATATTTTTACATATACCAGCAAATGGCATGTTAAAATTTCTAATTTAATAATGTTATATCTATGCAGATATGATTAATTCATTCACATAAATTCATTGGCAAAACTGTCAATGTTATTATAGACGTTGACACGGCTTGTTTGCAGCAAGTAACATTGTATAGTAAAGATATGGCAGGCAAATATTAACCGATAATTACACGACTAATGATCGTGATTATCCCGAGAAATTTCTCCTTATTTTTTAGAAAAGAATTTTATGTAAAATTGTCTGGTAAGATATGTTTGTAAATGACAAATTTTATGTCATTTTTATCGTAAGTTAATATTCTTATTACGGGTTGATAATTTACTAATACACTTTTTCAAGAAATCCGAAAGGTAGGCCTATGGCATTTCTATGGTCGGGAAGTTCAATATTCTACAAATCGTCGTTCGCTTCGTCAGGGAGAAAAGTTCTCCCGGGCTTAATATAATTTTCTTTTTGTAACAGCTTAGACCATTTGAAGCCTAAATCAATCCGACACGGAACTACATTTTCCGTTTTTCGAAAAAATACAACTTAAATGAATATCAAGTCATCAAGACAAAAACATTAACAATACTTACAATTAGGCGTTTAAATCGGCCTTCCGCTCTATCTCGGAAATGCCGTTCGCTCGTTTTACCGTACACCACAATTTTGAAGTGGAGCGACAGTTTGCCGGGCGTGTGTAAAGTTTGGATGAAATTGCACTAGTAGTTTATGAGGAGTAGTCCGGACACGTTTTGTGACGGACGGACAGACGGACGGACAGACGGACGGACAGACGACGGAGAAGTGATCCCTATATGTCGCCACTACTCCGTAGAGGCGACACAAAAAACGGATTTAACAACTATATTTTAAGTCTTAAAGTTTTGTTTTAAAGTGACATTATGCCCATCCAAGGTTATAAATGAGTGAACAGATGAAAGTCAAAATAAGTTTCAATTTTGCCATAAATCCTTTTATTATAAAAAATTATTTCACATTAACAATAAACAACGCATGGATCCAAATGATGTTTTTGTAAATAACCATTATAATGTTCCTGTAACGTTCAGTTCATAAAAAGAGTGGGGCAGTCTTTTTCATATTTCAGGCAGATTTAAATTTTATCCTAAACTTTTTCCAATATGAACTGTTGGTCAATCACCATTTTATCCAGTCAATAATTTGAAATATTTAGTCAGTTTAGCTCAACTTGAGTATGAAAAAATTAGCATAATGTCATAATGTTTCAAGTAGGTCAAATAAATTCCGTACAGATAAAGGAACGGCTTTATCATTGTTATCGTCACAGTTTTCGACCTCGGCTGACGGTCAGGTTATAAAACGCTGAGTACTGTCAGGCTGAAATTAGCGTAAGTTGAGAAATACAATTTATTGATTAGGAAATTTTGTTTAAAACTTAAATACAGATTTATATTAGATCGTTTACAAAAATGATGATTCGCCATTTGCTTTAAAGGGAGACTATAAGAGTATGGAACGCCTTTTCTGTCATGTTTTATAGTTACACATGTAGTCATGTTTTATAATATAGTTACACTTTTTTTCAGAGAAAAACGTAGGGAAAATGTCACGGACAAATTGTGTTTTACAGATATATAGAAAGACGCGTGGTTATAGTGTCAGACTTCTACAACGGAGAGAGTGGTGTAATGCTGGAGAACATAAAAATGAATTTTCAACGTCTTTGAAAAGAAATATCTCAGTGCAAAATAATGATACAACTCACGACTACATTATTGTAGGGGCGGGGTCAGCAGGATGTGTTCTTGCGAACAGGCTGACAGAAAATGAACCATGTAATGTACTACTCATGGAGGCAGGCCCTAAAGACAGTTCTTGGAAAATATGGATGCCCGCCGCATTAATGTACAACCTTTGTGATGACAAATATAACTGGTATTACCACACAGAGCCCGAACCCTCAATGAATAATCGTGTGCAATACTGGCCTCGGGGGCGGGTACTAGGCGGATCGTCTTCACTCAATGCTATGGTGTACATACGTGGGCATGCATATGATTACGATCGCTGGGAGAAGGAAGGGGCGAGTAACTGGTCATATGCAGATTGCCTGCCTTATTTTAAGAAATCGCAGACGCACGAACTGGGTGAGAATGAATATCGCGGAGGGACTGGGCCACTTCATGTTTCTCGCGGGATTACAAATAACCCTTTACATTATGCCTTTATTGAGGCCGGGAAGCAAGCTGGTTACCAATTTACTGAAGATATGAATGGTTATCAACAAGAAGGTGTTGGATGGATGGATATGACGATTTATAAAGGTATGCGATGGAGTGCAGCTGCTGCTTATCTCCATCCAATCAGAAACAAGAGAAAAAATCTTGAAACGAAAGTGAACGTATTAGCTACAAAAGTGTTAATTGAGAAGGGGAGAGCTGTTGGAGTTGAGTACGAGGAGAATGGTGAGTTGAAGAAAGTGTTTGCTAATAAGGAAGTTGTTCTTTGTGGTGGTTCTATAAATACGCCTCAGTTATTGATGCTATCAGGAGTAGGCAACGCTGACGACTTGGCTAAGTTGGACATTCCCGTTGTTGCAAACATTCCAGGAGTTGGTGAAAATTTGCAAGATCATTTAGATTTGTGTATTCAGTATAGATGTACCAAACCAGTCACTCTGTATAGCGCTCAGTGGAAGTTTCCGCACAATATGATTAAAATTGGCTTACAATGGTTCCTTTTCCGGAAAGGATGGGGTGCAACAACTCATTTTGAAAGTGGAGGATTTATCTGTAGTAAAGCAGGTGTGGAACATCCAGATTTGCAGATACATTTTCTTCCGTTTGCATCTACTGACCATGGCAGGAGTAATGCTGATTGCCACTCTTTTATGATCCATATCGGTGGGATGAGACCTACAAGCAAAGGGTATCTAAAACTAAGATCCAGAGATCCTAGGGACCATCCAAAGATAGTGGCAAATTATCTAACAACTGAAAAAGACATGCAAGAAATGAGAGATGGAGTAAAACTCGCGCGAGAAATTATTCACCAAAAAGCTTTTGACGAATTCAGAGGAGAGGAGATGCAGCCAGGTGCTCAGGTTCAGACACCTAGTCAAATAGATGAGTTTATTCGTAATGTTGCTGACAGTAACTATCACCCAGCATGCACGTGTAAAATGGGTCAACCGGATGACAAAATGGCTGTTGTCGACCCAGACACTAAAGTGATTGGTATTGAAAATTTACGAGTTGTGGATGCTTCAATTATGCCGAGTATGATTAGTGGAAACCTTAATGGACCCACGATGATGGTAGCGGAAAAGGCTGCCGACATAATCAGAGGATTGCAGCCACTACCACGGTCCAATGCTCCAGTGTACAAGCGTACAAATATTGATAGTCAAAGATAGTGTCTGCTTTTTATTCAATTTTTCATTAAGCTGTATGGTTTCCTTTTCGTATTGGATAATAGGTGTAAGTGTAATGCAAACTATTATGCAATAAAAAGCCTATTTACTTGTTTAGCCCCTTTTTTGTTTGAAGCTTTCATTTTTAAATGTCTTGAAGCCGATACATTGCAATCTCAGGTGCTCAATGCAATTTGTTAAGGATGTGATTTTTATGAAAAATTTCACTACTCGTAAATTGTTTTTACTAAAAAGTGTTTTGGTCTTCATAAAGTTGCGTGATATTGTTTGATTTGTTTGATTCGGTGTTTCTTTTATTAAATACTATTTGACTTAAAACAAGACTTATTAATAATAATTTTTGAAAACAAATTCATGCAAATAAACCTGTATAGAAATAAAAGTGACATGTTTGCAGCATACGTTATAAGAAATCAAACGACATATATAAGTGATAGCGCCAAACATACAATTGGGTCACACAATAAATTACTCATAATTGATACGAATAAACAAAAATATATTTCAAGTTAAATATATGAAAAGTTTTCTTACTTTATAATCAAACTGAACGCTGTACACGACTGCGTTTTAACCACATTACAAATGTGATGGATATTGTTGCTTTTGTGTGTGAGGTGGGGGTTATATTTATGTCACACCGGACGTACATGTATTAAAGATATGTGACATCATTCCAGTTTTATTGTTGGAGATATATTTCATATGTCTATCCTTTACCAGGCTACAGCGGACACATTGTTTAGAACCACCGATCTTTCGTAGTCTATCTTGATAGCTTCCTCACATGAAAGAATGTAAAATCCCTGACAGGATTTGAATCCATGATTGTAACGCTGAGAGCCAATAGATCGAAGTCACCTTCCTTAACCACTATAATAAAACTACAAGTTGAGAAGTTGAAATATAATCAAAGTGGTGTATAATAATATAATGCAGGGACATCCATCTGCGTTTATTAACAAGGGACATCAAGCTGCGTTTATAATAGATGATGAGTTTTAACATGCTCGCGAATCGTTTAATTGCGGTTAGATCAGTTGTGCGCTATTTCTGATAGGATTTGCACTAAGGATGGTTCATCGTTTCATTCCTGCAATCAATAATTGATTATTATGAATTAGTGCCAAATATATATCATGAAAAATAATTTCTATAAAGGTTATAGAAAAAAATGTATGTTTATATTACAATATAAATATATTTGCTTGTCATAAAACGTATAAAGATCTTTATTTTGAATTACATGAGGTATAAAGTATCAAATATTTATATAATTATCCTAAAATCACAAAAAAGGTGGATAAAAAATAGTGATAAAATTAAGCTTCAGTCCAGCTAGCATGCCTCCATGCAGATGAGCGAAAATATTTCAATAAATCAAACTTGATAAATAAAAGTACTAAGATTTTAGGAAAAGTAGATTGATTCAAGATTCAAGTAATAATTTACATGTTATGAGCGATTAAATCATAATGAATTTTTCACTTTGTGTAACCACGGATTTAAAATCTATGTAATGTACATTTAAATCCGTGGTGTAACTATATATGCACATGCATGTATATTTCTACTGCGTTACTGCATAATTATTTTGCACATTTTGACCTTTTTTGGGATTTTTTTGTGATTAACGTTGTTTGTAAGTGCCACTGATAATGTGTAAATTGCTTTCTATAGTTTACTTTACAATATTATACATTTAATTTCATTTTTAAAGTGTTCATGAAAATAAATATAATTAAGCATTAATCTGGAGTCGTGCTGCTTTAAAGTCCTAAACCTGTAGACCCGCATCTTCATAGCTTTAATTGCAAAATATTACATAATCATTTGTGGTAAGAAATCATACCCCATATGTATTAATTGTTCAAGGAACATATTGTACTGTATTGAAAACTCAATATAAACATTCTATTCTAAGATTTATTAACAAGAGTATTCACAGAGATGTTGCTACATTGCATGTGTAATCTAATCTGTCTATCAAAGAGGGCTCAGAGAGAGAGTTCTCAGAGTGTGCATATTTAATCAAGTAGGCGGAGCTAATCTCTAAATACTAACAACACTACACATATATTCATATTGCAGATAAATAATTACAAATAAACAATGATAAACACTTAGAAAAAAAATTTAATCGTTCTACCTTAGTAATTTTCACAAATAGAGTAAATTTTCAAGTACACCGTTTAAAAAGTGTGGGAATCTAGCTGCATTAGTCGCCAATTATTGAACAATAATATGTTCAAGAAACCTTTTAGAATTAAATCTCAAACTTCTATGAAAGGATCAGATAGGTTTGCTTTATATGTTTGTGAAAAGATTATCAGAAATAATCTAATAGTCGGTTTACAAGAATATCTTTTAGTGTACCATATTTCGGATAGTTTTCTCTTTAGTATCCACTTGCATGTTTGTGTCCATTTTACTGTAGTTTGTTCTTACATTAACATTCAATTAAGTTTCTTCCGCTTCCTTCTTGATATGAGCACTGATTCATGTACTGTTCATTAACATCTTCTATAAAATTTACAGGTTTTTGACAGTGGTCAATAATCATAATGATAATAATTTTGAAAGTGAATTATGTAGGCAGGGTCTTTCTTATAGAATTTCTTTTCATTGGTGTCATTTGTCTTTCTAACCAGTGTTTTTTATATCAACTGTAACACTTCAAAAATTATTCCTTACCTCAAAAGTTTCGAGCTGTTTCGAGAGGTCTATATATGTATATAAAGATATGTATATAGACCGATTATGTAAAATATTTGATTATGTGACAAGCGCCTGTGGCACAGGGCATCTGCAGAAGACTTGATTCTGATGGCATAGAACAAAATAATCGGATGGCAGAGAACAAAATAATGTCCTGACTGAAACTGAGGGGAGTTTAATTAAAAAGTTAAAAAGTACATATTTCTAGATTATTTTTCAATAAATTCTTATGTTGATATAAGCAAAAATGGCTACATTTAAGTAGCTTTTTAATATATTTATTTCTTAACTAAGTGATTTTCTAAGCAGGTGATAGTTAATTCTTAATAACATGCTATACCTATATACATGTAAATTATTTACGTTATTTATAGAATATTGGAAAATTGTAATGTTATCATATAAGGCCATTTCATGCTATAAATGATAAATCCTATTTGCCAAGTAATGCTTAAAATAGATTTGTGGATTGAAGACCTTGACAATTTATAAAATTCTTGTGTATAATATACGTTTATACGTTAAAAAAAATTCTATTTTTTTAAAATACAATAATTGTTATTTTTGATCTGGCAATAGGTATATTTATTAAATAAAATGGTCTATATTTTAAATAAAGTTACTTGTTTATTTTGAAACTGGTAATTATATATTCATAAAACTTGTGAGTGAAATATGGATGAAATAAACACTTACTTTTATTTTCAAATCTTTTCTAAAATAGAAATCTTATTTGATTCATTATCATATGATATTTGTGTGTATTCATGTATCACTTTTAATGTCATCATACTGTAAAGAATTCCAATTTCTCTATCTACAAAAAAACCTGTCCAGTAAGTATTTAGTTCTGCTGGCTGGTTAACATCTATCCCTCGCCTTTATCGGGAGGGAGTTTTACTTTCAGTGGGATGGTTTAGACTCACTGGGTAAAATATGGTATACAATATCCCTGTGAGGTTGCCAGTAGTAATTTCTATTACTGCTATGATAGAGAAATATTGACTTATTACTTAAAACATTATTTTTTTGTCTAATATTTACTCTAAGTTTCATATTACATTTTATGTTACCATGATCACATGATGTTATAATTGTTTTATTTATCTATTTGCATAACAAAGTCTAAATAAAACATATTTTCTGTTCTATATAATTTACAGAAAAATTCAGTTTTGTTAAATTGTTTATGAATAAAACATTTGTTTCTGTTTTTCATTTGTTTACTTGTGAATACCACAACAAGTGAAAATTGTTTGTTTTATACATCTCTAAGAGAATGAATCACACGTTTATGAGAAAATCTTTGATATCCTCTAATTTATAATTTTCATTCATTGAATGTGTTATTCATTTTAGAAATAACAATGAAAAAGAATGTTTCAATTTTTGATATAATTAGATGAAACATAAACATATTATGCATCTTCTACAAAAAGTTTTTTCTTCCAATAAGTAAATTTTACTTGTTTATTGGCAAAATGTATTTCTTTCTTTATATACAAGCACATTTTTTTTTATATTTTTGAGGTCATTATGTTATTTAGAAGTGTTTCTCTGGGTCCATGTACATATTGTATTTACTTTACTTAAGTGCAGCTATGTATATTGTAGATATAGTGTTGAATATATTATTGTAAATATTAGTTATGAGTAGTCTTAATATTTTCTCTTACAATTGTCGAGGTTTACACGATAGTATCAAGAGAAAAGATGTTTTAGATTTATTTCAGTCAAAAAAGCTGATGTTCTCTGCCTACAGGAAACACATTTTATAAAAGAAAATTGAAAAGAAATTTTTATTCTGAATGGAATGGTTTTATGTTTTTACAGCCATGGTAGGTCTAATGCCAAAGGTGTGGCTATTTTATGCAGAAAAGGTTTAGATATAAAAATTAATTCTGTTAAAAACTGATGATTCAGGAAATTTCATAATTTTACAAATAATGCTTGATTGTCTATAAACTTCACATTAATTAATATTTATGCCGCCAAACATAGACAGTCTAGTTTCTTTAAAAACATTTTTTTGATACTTTAGATTCTTTTATGATAATGACTCTCTAATTATTTGTGGAGATTACAACCTTGTTCAAAATCCTGACTTAGATTATTATAACTATATAATCAAAAAACAATAATGTAAAGGCAAGAAATTTTTTAATAAGTATTATTGAAGAAAAAGACCTCATGATCCTTTAGAGAACTGCATGGTAATATGAAAAAAAATATACATGGAGACGAACCAACCCTATACAACAAGGTAGACTAGATTTTTTTTCTTATATCAAATAGTTTATATCAGTATGTACGAAATGTGATATTGACATTAGTTATAAATCTGACCATTCAATAATATATTTAGATTTTTGTTTTAGTTCTGTAAGTCATGGAAAAGGTTTATGGAAATTTAATAATGCTCTGTTATATGACATTGAATTCCTTGATATTATAAATAAAAAATAGATGAAGTAAAATTACAATATTGTTACCAGTATACAATATAGACTATGTTTTAGATCCAAAAAACAAAGATGTAAATTTTTGTTATATAATGATGAACTTTTTTTAGAAACTCTTTTGATGGAAATAAGAGGTAAAACTATATCTTACAGGCTCTTATAAGGTCAAAGAAAGAAATACTTATGAAAAAAAGTTAATTGAAGAAATTAATCTTATAGAGCAAAACCTGACAATTGAAAATAAAGACAAA